TATATATATATATATATGTTGATTTATAGATCTGCCAATCTATGCATATGTATATATATATATATATATTTCTATATATGCAACCTGCGAAGGAGCGGAGCGAGGAGCAACCGGAGTGCAGTCCGGAGCAGCCCAAAGTCATCCACTGGGCTGCTCGGATGGGCTTAGGGTTTGCGGGGTTGGCGGTTTTGCGGTTTAGGGCTTACCTGTAGCCGGAAAGACATACCTTTTTAAGGGTTCCTTATTAGGGTTTTGTGTATAGTTCCTTAAAAGGTAGGTCTTTTCGGTTACAGGTAGGGTTTAGGGAATTAGCGGTTGAGGGTTTAGGGTTTAGGGATGTGGGGTTTTAGGGCTTAGGGTTTGCAGAGTTTGGGGCTTCAAGGGTTTCTGTTTAGGGTTCAGGATGTGTGTTTTTGGCGGCGTCTAGATTCAATTCAACATGCCATTCCGTCCCCACGTGCAAGGGTTCGTCTGAGTAGTACCTTGCGCCTCAAGAGTCTTTCGGCTTTCATCAGGATTCAGAGTTGCCTATCAGGGCCGGTAGGGGAGGTTCAGCAATTGAGGCATTGGGTTTCAGGTTTCATCGTCGCTTAGAGCGTAAGGTTCAGGAGTAAGCTTACGGCCTTTATCCTGACTTTAGGGATCAGGTTCGGTTGCAATTCTTGTTTTGATGTGGTGCGCTGTTGGACTTTTTGTTTCGTGAGTGTCTTCTGCCAATACGGATGTTGCTGGATTTTGCGGTGTTTTTTGGTTTACTGTTTGGGCTCGCTCTCGGCGTTTACAAGACTGTTGCATTGCACTTGTGGGTGGAAAGGGGCTTTGCATGTAAATGCGTGCGTGTGTCTCTGTGTGTGTGTGTGTGTATATGTACGTATATATGTATATGTATATGTATATGTATATGTATGTGTCTGTGTGTGAGTGTAACACCCCTGTAAAGCCTGCATACGAGCGCTATAGAAGTAAGGACCCTATGTAGAACCCCTAAGAAGTCCGTAGAGGTACCCTAGAATCTAGAAACAAAAAGAACTTGTTGTGCGAATTCGGGCCAGGCTCGGCTCAAGGAGGAGACACACATGCTCACAAGATCCGAAGTCGTTTGGGGTTTAGGTCTTGAATCCGACAGGGCCAAACACCTTAGCTTCATCCAAGCTAGAGCTACACCAGGCTTTAGAATAGAAGCCAATGGCTAGTAGGTCAAGGTTTAGGAAAGCTTTGTGTGTGACGGTTTAAGGTTGTGAAGTTCCATGTTGAGGGTACGCCTTCCTGTGTGCTCCTTCCTTTCCAGGTTGTGCTGCCGCAGTACAAGGAATCGGAGACTTGTCTCGGTGAGTCGGATTGTCCTCGCGAGTTGAGTAAGCTTTGTGAGCCCGGTCGGCAAAGCAGGATCCTTATGGTATCATGTGTTCTCTGACTTGTTACTACCATTCCTACCACTTGCAAAACACAAGACCTACACGCCTCCCATTGCCAGACTTTGCCAACTGCTCTGAAGCCCCGAAGACGAAAAGCCCTTAAGTAGGGTTTAGGCCTAAATTCCATGAGCCCGAGACCACTCTGTCGTGCCTTTGATGATTGAAGGAAAGTCTTGAATTTAAAACACGCGGGCAAGAGAGTGCAGACATCAACATGTCAAGACCAGTTCGGTCTTTGCCAGAACAAGCAGGCAAGCAAGGATAATCACAATGTCCCTGTTTTCTCGCACGACCCATAACTTAGGTGGAGATCATCCGAATAACCCTGTGTTCAACGCCCTGCACCCCAGACCCTGTCAAACGCAGCTTAGGTGGAGATTCATAGCCGTGACAGTCTCGTACGGTCCCGTATACTTATCTTATACGCAGCATACCATCCCAGACCCAGTTCGCTGTGGCATGGCCATTTTTTGGTGGAAATCGTCAGCGATGATACTATGCTTATTGTACCCTTATAGGAACCCTTGTAGTACCCCCTGGTATTATTATGGCAGCCTAAATAATTAATTACTTATATTGTTCCTTATGGCTCCTTATTCCTTTTTTAGTAAAAATTAAAGGGTTGAGAATTATATTGTAAATTATTAAGGCCCCTAAATTAGGTGGAGATCGTCAGCCAGACGCTGGAGTCCTTGTGCCGAAGTTCCCTCACGCAGCAGATGGGGGTGCTGTTGGCCATGGAATCTTCGGCTGAATGCAGGGGCCAAGCCCTAAACCCTAAACCCTAAACCCTAAACCCTAAACCCTAAACCCTAAACCCTAAACCCTAGCCCGAAACCCTAACCCGAAACCCTAAACCCTAAACCAAACCAAAGTGTTAGGTGCGGGGCTTAGGACTGGAGGTTCGAGATGGGGTTTAGGGTTTAGGGGTTTAGGGACTTAGGGTTTAGGGACTTAGGGATTTAGGGATTTAGGGTTTAGGGTTTAGGGTTTTAGGGTTTTAGGGTTTCGGGTTTAGGATAGAGGATTCCAAAAATGCTCCGAACCTAGGGATTTGGAGTCGAAGCGTTTTGGTGCATTTAGCTTAAGCCTTGAGGTTCAACGGTTCCTGCAGTTTCGCGGTTCAGGTCGATGTCAGCATGGTGGCCCGCAATATAAAGGCCTTATCATATTTAGAATGGGGTTTAGGGTTCTGGGTTTTTTTGGGTTAGTAGATGGGCCTTAACGATTAGAATAGGGCTTTGGGTTTAGGAGTTAGGGTTCGTGTAGGGGCCTTAATAATAAGAAAAGGGTTTTGGGCCCCATTATACTATAATTCTAATAAGGAACCCCAAAATAGTATTTGGAATTATTTAGGCCCCTACATTAAATCAACACTTGTTTTTGTCAGACGCTCAGGCCTGAAACCCGGGCACCTAATCTAGAGGCCTGCATCATCAGCAACAGCATCGCTTTAGAGTCCCTGTGAAATCAATGCTATAAGTAACGATTGCATGGTTCGCGGCGTGAAATAATACCTCAAACCTCCTGAACCCCCAAGTCCTGCACACACCCTGAATCCCAGACCTCACACCCGACACCCTAAACCAACTCAGGCGCTTCACGAACAAGAAGACAAACCTTAAACCCTCAACCCTCCAAATCCCAAACCTCACACTCTAAACCTACCCTACCCCCCCCCCCCCAAAAAAAA